CGGGAGTATTGCCTTCAGGGGAGGCTCGGATAGGCTTGGGAGCCCTCTCGTAGCCATTGCCTTTTCGGCAGCCATGTGGGCTCGCTCACTGAGCCAACAGGTCCTAAACTGAAGGCTGTGGGGAAGGACAGCAGGAGGTAGACCCTTCACTCCTCCCACGGCTGCCCCTTTGGGCTGGGGTGGTGCTATGGCGGTGGTTGAGCTCCAGCCCTGGGTGGGATCGGTGGCATTGATCCCACGCTCACCCTCCACGGAGGAACCGCTGCTTCCAGCTCCTCGGCAAGTCTCCATCTCCTCCTGCCACGGATAACGCGGCGTGGGTGTTCCCACAAGCCTGTTGCCATGCAGTGACACACTCGGATGAATCAAGGAGGTGGTGGAAGCGCTGAGGAGATGTGAGGGAAGCAAACCAGGCATGTTCCCAGCCCTGACAGCCCACTCCTCATGAAGACTCACCTCCGGCTGGCGAAGTCACATTTTTAACCTCAATAAAAGGGCAAGACGGTGGGAGGACACAGAGAGAAACCAGCATCTCCTCCCAGGTGGCAGCTGGGCTCAGGGAGGATGCTGCACTGCCGCTCACCTGGGGCAACACCCAGGCCACCAGTGCCTGTCCACGGGTGTCCAGTGTCGTTGCTCTTACACGCCATCGCTACCTCCTGCTACTCTGCTGCCAAGGTTAACTTCAAAAAAGTCGGAAATCTTTCTTTGGGGGTGTTACTGCCAACCACCCATACATTCCCTCTGCATTTAGGGGATCCAGCACCCGGGCATCCAGCCCAGCCTCGTGGCTGGAAGAAGATGTGCATCCTTTCTGGTTCAGGCGTGGTGAGAGTAGGCGCTGGAGTCGGTGAACGGTTGATCTGTGCAGGAGAGGATGTGGAAAGAAAACCTCTCATGGGACATGTCATTTGATACACCATCTCACTGGAAGCTGAACTGTCCTCACCCCACCTGCTCTGTGATGGGCTGACACTTCTCTCCTGGAGCGTCCTTGCTGTCCTGGCGATGCAGCAGGATTTTACAGAAGATGTGTAAACCCCTTGCCTGGGGCATTGCTCCAGGCAGGCATGCCTGACGGCCTTGTGATTGTAGCCAAGAGCTGGCGAGGGGATGTCACCTGCCAGACCCCCGAGGTAGGGACCGACCCCTCTCCACGCAAAAGCCTCTTTCCCCTTTTTTCCCCTTTTTTCCCCTGTTTATTTTTAATGGCCATATGGCACCGGAGTGGATGCAACCTGCGTGGCTGGGTGGGAAACGGTTTACAAGCCTTTACAACGTGCCCCCCAGGGGCAGGCCCAAGGCCGCCGCGCGCAGAGCCGAAGTTTGCTGCAAGAGACGCTTCTTTGGCACGTCCCCGCCCAGCTCCGCCATCCACCCGGCGCGTGGGCTGCCCCGGCAGGCGCAGAGACGTCGCGGACTGGATGTTTGGAGAACGACGGTCGTGGATGCGGTGGGGGAAATCCCGAGCTGGTGCAGATGTGGGGCTCAGCCTGCCTTTGCCACGCCGGAGCTAAGAGGCAGCCCTCCAGCCTGAACCTCCTAAAGGAGCTTGCGGGAAAGGAGACGTCTGGACCACGGAAAGAGGAAGGGGTGGACACCGCGACATGGGTGCTCCGTGTCTGCTCCGCAGTAAGTGACTTCAGGCTCACCAACAGCCAAGAAGATACGCGTATAACTACCCACAGGTTCAACAGCAGCCGGGTGAGACTGTCTCCTGGCTGAAAGGAGAGCACCGGCCAGCCATGGCCCTGTTCCTGGCACGGCTGAATTTTAGAGGGCCAGGACCTGCTGGACACTCTTCTTAGCTCTGAAGGCTCTTGCCCGTAACTCATGCTCCCCCCCTGTTTTCGGCTTTGGTTTTTAGCAGAAAAACATCGAAGGCTCTTTCCAGGAAAGCAAAAAGGGCATCATTTGTACGGAGACTTCAGCCACCCACTTGCTACAACCATGCAATTTGAAAGGGCTGCTAAAATGCCAGCAAAATGAAAGGTTTGGGGACTTGTGTTTGTGCCTTAATGCAGAGCAGTTGGGAGCAGAGGGGTGTGGGGAACAGGGCTGGAAAAAGTCAACCTACAAAAGAAAAGGGTGAGAATTAAAATGAGTCAGACTCATCCTTCTGGACCTCAGACAAGCCCGGGGGAGGAACAAATCCGCTTTGATGGGCTCTTGCACCCGTTGGACATCCCGGAGCCAGTGGCGAGTGCCGCCTGCCTGGGCCCTGGGGCTCCAGCACGAGGCACAAGCGACTGGGACAGGACCAGGGAACACTGAAGCATTTTCATACGTAAGAAAGGGAACTTCTCTGAGCGTATGGGCCGTGGCAGCACCTCTACCTGATCCCAGCGTCCTGTAAGGGGCTTTTTTTCCCCCCAAGGAGAGTGATGTACTGGTAACGCTGCTCCTGGCTTCCTCCTCCTCCTCCCATGACAGCCCTGCAACCATCCATGACCCACCCCCTCTCCTCTGCGTGCCCGGGGTGCTGATGTGCGACTTGATGGCACCGGGTGCTGCTGCCGTCGCCTAACCGCGCTGCAAGGCGGCGCGGAGCCGGGGCTGCAGCCGGCGGCTGCTCGGCTTTCGGGTACCCGGGGTGACTCAGCGTGACCCACGGGACCCGGGAGCTTCCACCAGGTCTGTGTTGGCACTGAGATGCTGTTGGATTTTTATTTTTTTGGAAATCCCTTCTCCCATACCTATTACTTGCTTTTTTCCCCCTTTATAAATTTTTTTTCCCTGCTGCCATGGCAACTTGGATAGATTCCGGTCACGGCTTTGGCCTCCCCGGCTGCAGACGGCCACAGAAACATCAGTCAACAAGTGACTCCTCCCTGGGGACCGGCATAGCTGGGGATGTCCCCTATGGGCAGGGACCTCGCTGGATCCCCAGCAAAGAGCGGAGCTCGCCCAGGCGGGTCGCGCTCCCTCCTCCCTCTGCCCGCGGTTCCTCCAGGACCAGGGGCTGGAAGGCTTTGAGGGGTCTATTTCGGGCAGCGGTCACCCAGGACGGCCCCTCTGCACTCACTCCTCCTCGCCGGTGCCCGGAGGGGCGGCAGGAGCCGGGGCTGTGCGTGGTGATTCCGCTTTACAGCCCTCCATTTGGGGTTTAAAAATAGAGCTGGTTAATAGGGTTTGATCCTGCCCCGCACGCTGTCCCTCCCCTCCTCTGCCTCCCCAGGCAGCCTCAGCACCCACGGCCATCGCCCCAGGGCTCCCACACACCCAGCATCAGCTCCTGTCCCTCCTTCTCCCCAACTCCGCTCTCGGCTCCCCCCCTGAGACCAAACCATCCCCTAGGGAAGGCCCGGGCAGTGTTTTGGGGGATACTTCAAGGTCGAGGAGATGGAAATCCTGCCTCCAGCTTCCTGTTGCACCCCGCTGGAGGGGTGGGAGATGGGTGCTGCTCCGAGAGCGTCGCCGGTGGTCCCCGGTCTGATGTGGCCTCGCTCAGAGGCGCTGCTGCAGTTGGACGGAGGAGGAAAGCTGTGAATCTGCAGGCTGCTCCCCTCCGAGCTCTGCGGTGACTTCCTCCCTCCCTCCCTCCCTCCTCATCGTCACCAGCAGCTGCTCCAGCTCCCCTGGGAGGCAATCCACGCCCGTTCCCACTCCCTGCTCAGCCTGCCGGGTACCAAAACTGCCAGGCAGCTTTAGCCATGGATGGGGAGGAGATGTGCCCACCCTTCCCACCCTGTGTTCCCGAACCCGGAGCATCCATGAGCTCCTCCGGTATTTGAATCCCCCGAGGCTGTGGGTGTCGAGTGCTGCCTTGCCGGCGTGACCAGGAAATGGTGGGTCTCCTCTGCCTAAGCCCAAGGAGAGGGACTGTGTTTGGGTGGCACTGGGTGACACCTGGGGGGTCTGGGACTCCCCAGGACATGTCAGTTGCCAATGCTTGCCCTGAAGCCTTTGCCACGAAGCTGAGCTACAGCGGCAGGGACCAGGCTTGATGACCACCATTCATATGGGCTGGGTGCTCCATGGTGTCTTCGGTGGAGGACTGCTGAGATCAGGGGACGGAGGGGAAAACCCCTGCTCCAGCAAGAGCATCCTGCCAAGGAGCAGCTCCAGGCTCCACGGGACTTGGCATGCGGGGAGCCCCAGGTAGGCTCGAGGTGTGCAGGGGGACCATCTCTTCCAGGAGACCTTCCCAGACACCATCCATGCTCAGCACAAGCAGGTGCCATTGCTACGAATTTAGCAGGTCTCCGGAGAGTCCTCTTCCATGGACTTCTCCACCCTCCCCTGCAGCCCTTGGAAATGTTTTGTAGCCAAACACTGGGTGAAGTCTGGGGTATTTTGGCATCTCCCCGCTGGGCTTGAGAAGTCCCCGTTCAGCCCATCAGGCCAGCGGCGTTTCAGGTGTGGTCAGGCATGATGAGAAGCCCAGCCCGGACTCGAGTTCTCCTCAGCACAGAGCCTGCAGGCAGGGGTGGGGGCTCCCAAGTTTCCCGGGACATTCAAGAAGAGGTTCTTGTGAACTTTGCAACATTTTACTTTCACTGACAGTTTTTACTGCTGAATTCTCACTAACCTGGTATTTTCTGAACATACTAGCTTTTAGTTCTTCCTCAAAAGTAGCTGGCCTGGTCTGCCTGAACTTTTCCAAAGAGACCTGGAATGGGAAATGTCAGCTCTGGCTACCTGGAGTTTGGGGCGATGCCATAAGCCACCGATAAAGGTCTCTCAGTGGGAGGAGGTGGGCAGCGTTTGTGATGGGGGATGATGTTGGCTCCCCCCAGAAAAAAGATTGTGTTCCTCGGTTCTTCCTGGCACCAAATTTAATATTCTCTCTTGATGTACATGATTTTCAGTGCTCAAATGGACCTTCAGTCTGAAGTTTATTTGCATTTTAATAAACTGTCTTTGATGGAGAACACCCTTCTCTATTCATCACCCACAAAAGAAGAGTGAATTGAAAATTATGCAGGAGCTTAACGCATCTGAAAGGAAATTGCAGGCTATGACTTGACTTCACTGAGAAATCTGAAGATCAAACGATCCCGTCTGCAGCGGACATAAAAACGAGCAGCATCTGCTTATGCTGAGACCGCACAAGGGAATGGCTTTCACGAGAGGACACTCTTGAATGAAAGGTGTGTACATTTAAGAACGTGCTGGAACCTGGGCTGGGAGCTTCTCCAGCAGTGGTCAACAGCGAACACGTAGGGGAAAAGAACAGGGTTGAGCACAGAGTGACCCTTCTCCAAGCGACCTCCTCCGGTGGTTCAGGGACTTGGATCTGAACTGAGATGTTTTCTTGAAGACCCCATGGAGGCTGTGGGCCCGGGTGGGATGCGGTGAGGGCCACCCAAGGAATGGGATGGAGCAGAAAGGCCCCGCGGGGCGGTGGGGAGTGCAGGAGGATGCGCGACGTCCCGTCGTGCTGCAAGTCAGTGCAAACGGCTTCCATCAGAGCAGCCCGCTTTGCAGGATGGGGCCCAGGAGGGCTTGGCAGCCGAAGGCAGGAGAAGTGTCTTCCCAGCTCCCTTTCTCTCGTAATCCTCTTTGGTGGATGCTGCAGCTACATCTGTGGCCGGGGGCGGAGGTTTGCCGGAGGAGGAGCAGGAGGTGGGCAGAAAAAATTACCGAGGCGAAGGCAGTCAGAGAATAGGATCCCGGCGTCTGAGATCTTCATTGTCTTCTCTGTGACTGAGCTCAGGAAAATTTAGCACCATCCAAGCGGAGCAAAGCCGTCTCTCCAGCTCTGCCATTTGCAGTTGGAAACAGGCTCCCCACGCTCCCTGTTTATAGCCGGTTAGCAGCGGCTTCGCTGAACCTTCGCACCAAGATGGGGTGATGGGCACGCTGGGGAGTCCTGGCTGGGGTTTCCCAAGCTGATCCGAGGGGATTTAAATATCTCCAAGTGGTACCGATGGAAGAGGTCTCTGTTGGTCCTGGGCTGGCTTGGGAACGTCCAGCCCGGCCGCGCAGTCCTGCAGGCAATGCCAGCCTGGCTTTGCAACCCTTGAAACGCTGGCTGTGTCACCTGCAGGGACAGGAGGCGGGTGGCAGGGACGTCCCCATGCCACGCTCTGGATCTCACCTTCCTGCGAGGGGGAACCCACCTCTGCCCTCGCCAGCCCCCTCCTGGGGCATGAAATATGCCAAACACAGAAGCGTGAGGAACGTTAGCAGG